ACTGCACTCTCTGCACAACTTTGTTGAGTGAAACATAGCCAGGCTACTGTGGGATGTACCTTTTTATTGGAAATGTTATGCTGCTCCAACTCACTGGCTTTTTATCCCCAGCTTGTTAGAGCCATAGTCCGACAGCTCCCACACAGCTCTCACCAAACAACATCTCACGCCAGCCCAAAACACAGAAAAACAGCTGAAACCGCATATCATGCCGGCTCGGACATACAGGAGGACATACAGCCATTAGAAACTGACACGGCCGACAGATGTAACTCATCTGTGGCTCCGATCGTAAGGCTCACAGAAAGAGTCAGTTTTGATTTAAATTGAAATAGAATGGTATGTTACCATGCAGATGAACGCTGCGGCAAACAAACAAACAAACAAACAGGCACTGGCAGTGACACTAACCACTTGCAGTACTTATTCTAGCTCAGGCTGAGTGAGTGTGGGCATGACATTGTGGTTACCAAGTGGGCACCTTCCTTCACAAATGAGTCACTGAGTTAGAGACACGACACGTCAAGAAGGCTGAACAGTGTCTGCCAGCGTCCCTTTAACACCTCTTTCTGTTCCCAGTCTCTGCAGACCCAGTCACATCGCACTGATATCAAGTCATGATCTTGGAAGCATGGGCTCCTCTGGCGGGAAAGTTGCAACGCCTGAGAGCTCCCATAGTAAAGGCTCGGTGGAACAAGCTGGGCCTCTGCTCATTAGTGTTAAAAAACAGGTCTGATATGTCGCTGGGGGCCTTTATCCAGTGAATTTAAAATGAAATCTAAAAAAGCAGCCAGTGTAGAGCTGCTAAACAGGGGTGATATGATTTGGTGCCGCAGCTTCAATGAGCACCAAGTGGGAAAGATAACAATACAAAGACCATGATCATGACTCATACCCTTTAATCAAGGAGAAATGTGTCGGCTTTATCTGCTGTGCTTTATAATCTATTAACACTGCTTTTCATGGAAAAAGGGAACTGTCTCACTCTGAAGTCATATAATAAAAAGAGTTTACAAAGAGAGACCTCAGGATACTTGTTCCGAAGCAGAAAGGAAAGATCTTCCCCGTGTGGTTTGCTCTGAGGACTTGCATCCTGTGAGAAGAGGGGATTTTATTAAGATTGTTAAGAGTGATGTAATGATAGACTGTGAGTTGTAATATGTTTGGTAACTCGTAACATGAAATATTTGATCATAATGTGCATTTAATGGGCGCGGAGACAACTGTTGGTAAATCCATATGAAACGATGTGTGCTGTTTAGCTCAGTTGATGTTAACTCTTTTTGACAACCTGTGATCTGATCTGTTTATTTTGCTGTTTATTTTATTTAGTGAGGGATGTTTGCTCTCCATGGTGCTGAAATTCTCCGTTTTTATTCAGAAATAAGTCATTATAGACTTTCTTTGAATTCCTTTTGCACCAGTTGCTCGATATCATAAACACATCTCTACTTCACATCTTTCATTACTTACATTATAACGATGGCCATTTCATTGGCTGGTTCATGGACTGCTTGGCTTTCCTGTCCTGTTTCCTTTCCTTTCCATGTTAATCCACAGCGTTGGTGGATTTGGTAGGAATCCTGGGTTCAGGTGGGACAAGAAATTGCTTAAGAGAAAAAGCTCTTTATAACAAATACTCAGATTATTTTCACCTTTAAAAACGACAATTTGCTTTGATGTGTAAGCAGTGTAAACCAGAGGAAGGAAAGAACTCAGAGCTATGCATAAATAAGAAGAATATTTAGCGATGCAGGTGGAGGCGGTTAATTGTGAATCCATGACAGGATTTATTTCCGCTGGAATGCACCGCGTTACTGTAGGTCGCTTCATGGCGACAAGAAGATGTAGACCACGAACAA